CCCCCTCTCTTCCCCTCTCCCCCTCTCTTCCCCTCTCCCCCTCTCTTTCTTTCTCCCTTCTCCTCCCTCTTACGTCTCCTCTCCACTCTCTCTCCCTCTCTCCATCCCTCCCCCCCCTTTCTCCCCCTCTCTTCCCCTCTCCCCCTCTCTTCCCCTTTCCCCCCTTTCTCCCCCTCTCTTCCTTTTCCTTCTTCCCCCTCGAGTTACTCTTCCCTGCTAACCCTCTCGCCCGCTTGCAGGCCGCTGGTCCGACCGTCGGCCTGATCCCTCCTCTGGCGGGTTCTCCAGCTCCAGTTCCGGATCGTCCTCCCGCCAAGTGGCCGGGTATGGTGCCCATGCCGGTGGTGGCTTCCCCTCCCACCAGCAGGGTCCCTCTTACCACCATGAGGCTTCCTCACTGAGCGGGGGCTTCCATGCTTCTGGCAGTGGCATGCATGGCCGGCACTTCATGCCCGAGACCGATGAGTTTGGCCGCACCCTGATTGAGGCTGGGTCCGTGCTGGCTAGGTTGTGGGCACTTTCGGTTCTTGTGTTTCGCTCTGCCCCTGACTCCGTCCCTTCCCGCCCACCCGCTCGCCCTGTCATCGCCGAGCAGTAAGCGCCGGCGCCGGTCCATCTCGCCAGGCGACGGTCTCCCGAGCCGGCCTCGCAGCCGGTCTCGGTCCCCCCCTCCCCCCTCTCGCTTTGGAAGCGGCACTTCCTCCAAGCCTGCTGGAGCGCCGGCCGGCGCCTCCACCTCCCAGGGCCAGTACGACCCGTGGCTCCGCCCGTGCTCCCCCCCCCCCCCCCCCCCTTCTCCCACGACTCTGACATGCCTTCGATCACGCCCCCCCCCCCCCCCTCGGCCCATGCAGAGCCGAGCAGTACACTTCGGATGGCATCATCACCCTCGAGCGCTTTATCGAGGAGGAGGCCCACTCGATGAACACCAACCCCACGGTGGCGCATCAGCGCTACTACCAACGGGTGCTCAAGCGCAGCGCCCTGGACTTCTTTGAGAAGTGGTCTAACACCGAGTGGTATGTGGCCTGTTCGCCGGGCGGTGCTGCGTCCCCTGTCTTGAGCCGGCTTCTAATCCCGCCTCCCCGCCCCCCCC